CAGAGGACTGGAACCCCGCCTGATCCACGATGGGGTGCGGAGCCTCAGGCTTCCAGCCCTAAGAAGAAAGCTCCGCCATCTTCGGCGACGCATTCCGAGGATCAGGAGATGGCTCCTGCTCCTCCGGATGCCTCTCAGGAGGCGTCTTCCTCCTCTGCAGCGCCTGCGGCCAACGTGACTCCCCCAGCTGAGGCAGGGAGTCCGGAGGTCCGGATCCCTAGCCTCGCGGAGTCTATGAAGGCAGGCTTGGCACGGGAAAGAGCGGCGGCACGCGCCAAGGAGGAGCTTGCTGCTTCGGCCCAGGAGGCCGCGGCTGCGGCTCCTGAGGCACGGCGCGACACCCGCCTTCCTGCAGTGACCAAGGAGGAAAAGGAGACAGCAGAGGCTAAGTCCCTCTCCTCCCTCAAGCGCGCCGTTGAGGAGAGCGGCTCTGAGCGTCAAGGCCCCGCGGCCAAGCGGGCCACCACCAAGAAGGAAGAAGCGCCCTCGGCACCAGCCGGCCCTGCAGGAGCCGCGGCCGGGACAGGCGCGGCTCCCTCGTCTAGTGGCGAGGCAGGTGCCGAAGAAGGTGCCAGCGGGGCCGCTGCTCCGTCGAGCACAGACAAGCGGCGACCCGCGGAGCCGGAGGGACCGCCGCCGCCCAAGAAGCGATTCACAACATGGCAGGATACCATGGAGTCGCCGGCTCCCCAACACCGAGTTTCGGGGGTTTACGGACTCTCGAACGAGGTTCCCGGGGCCGATTGGCGCGACGTGGACTGGGATGCGACTCCACCGCCGGGGCCTGGAAGGCCCGGCGCCCGCGACGTGGATCCCAGGCTCACGGTCCCCCTTGATCTCCAACATGATGAACAGATCAGGGAATTCTTCCGAGGCGGTGGTGAGCATACGCTCGAGCAGCTCCTCGCGTTGGCGCGGCGCCGGAGGCGCGCGTTCGTCTACCAGGCTGCGATTTTGTCGAACAGGCCAGTGTTTGAAATCTGGCCCGATTACGATGAAAACGAGCTTGGACCGACACCCGAGCGCGTTCCGCTCCTCACAGGCAAGGTCTGGCCTTGGGGCTGGTGGGATTGCTTTACTTGTGGGCGTGCGAACCCACCAGAACGCAATACCTGCCGGCACCATGATTCCGAGGAGCTCGGAGGTGCCCCCTGTGTGGGGATCTTCGAGGACAGCCTGTACTGGAGCACGCCGGTGGACCTGCGAACGGCGCCGGCGTGGTTCATCGAGGTCTGGCTCGATGAACATAAGGAACGCATAAAGGAGTACCTTTATGCGAAGCGTTCGGACGCGATCGCCGCCGCAATGTCCAACGCCTACTGGACCTGTGGGCGGGACACATGCCAAGAGAGGAACATGTTATGGCGCAAACTGTGCTTTAAGTGCAGTGGCCCTAAGTCGGGCGCGTCGTTCATAACCCACGGCATGCCGCCCCAGGAAGGCGACGATGAAGCTGCTTCTTCGTCGGAAGAGAGCGAGGGCACGAAGATGGAACGGATCGAGCGTTCCATCAACGCCGATCCCCTTGCGGAGCATGCGAGGAAATTCCTCCGCTCCGGACGGAAGAGGCTCCGCGCTGAAAAGCGCAGGCAGGCAGAGCTCTCTCAAGACTCTGCCCGAGCCTGGTGGAGCCAACCTTCCTCCGGGCGCGGTGCACCCAGTGGGGGCCGCAGCTCTGGCAGCAAGGGTGGTGGCAAAGGTGGTGGAAGGGGAAGCTCGAACCGCTACGGCAACCGAGGATGGTGGGCCGGAGGTGCTGCCGGACTGGCATACTCCTCCCGACTCGGCGAGCGTGCTGGGCAGCCCGCCCTCACGCTCCCACTGCGTGGCCCGGGTGGCCACAGAGTGGCGCCCGAGGCCCCTGCCGTTTCTTCTCGCCCCGCTGTCTCTTCCGGGCCCTCGAACCGTGGTGGGTTCCTTGGGGCCGTGCGCTCGATAGGCGCTGCGGTCTCCAGCTGGGCTCTCTCCAGGAGAGCGCGCAATCGCGCAGCCCACGCCACAACGGGCAACATTGGATGGAAGATGGGTTTGGTGGCCGCTGCGCTGGCGCCTACCCTCTTCACTGTTGAGCGCGGTGCCAGAGAGGTGGCACACGTGAGCCTCACTGCAGTTGCCACTGCGGCGGAGGACCTCATCGAGGAATCCTCTGGTATCCTCGTTCGGGGTGTCCGCGTGGTTGGCTTGACGGCCGTCGTCCTACTGTGGACGTTCGCGGCCGTAGTGCTGTGGTGGGCCGGACGTGTCGCCACTAACCGGCTAATGCACGCCATGAACGGTAACCCCTTTGGGAATGCTGTTCTGGTGTCGCTCGAAGGCCGGGAGGCTGTCTTTGAGGTTGCATCAAAGACTAAGGCCGGAGCACACAGGGTTCTTGTGAAGGTCGGGTCGGGCGCGGACGGCGCAGGCTGCGACTGCAAGGCATTCCTCAACGAGGGACGTTGTGGTCACATAGAACGCGCTGTTGAAGCTGCGGGGCAACTCGTGGCCATGACAGGCGCGAGCGCTGCCCCAACGCTGTCCGTCGCCCCGGCCGCGACTAGACGCGCCCGTGCGATCCTCGGCGCGCCGGCCCTGGAACAGGGGTGCCTTGCCGGCATGGTGTCGAAAGCGAGATCGCTCTCTGAAAGAGCTCGGAATGTCGGGAACCCGTCCGAGGGTTGCCTTGACGGCTTTACCAAGCTCAGAGGCCGCCACGAGGTGGCCACAGTGTCGGCGCCTCCGACAGAGACTGTTCCGAAGACGCCTGCAGCGGAGGCTTCCCGCCAGGGTACCTCTGCGGCGTCTCCGGCTCCGACAGCTCCCATGTCGAGCCAGGCACGGCGTGTCAGAGACTTCCCGATCCCTGACGGCTTCGAGCGAGCCGGGGTCAAGTTTCTGACCCTTCCGGAGTATCACGCTGTGGTACAAACGATGCTATCGGACGCTGGGCATGGGGACCACGTTTACGTGCGAGCCTACAGCTTCGATAGCAAGCCTTTGGTTGGAGCCCTCGTGTCCTCGCTGGAGCGAGGCGCCCGAGCCCACGTGCTTGCCGACAACTCGCAGACGAGCCGGACCAAGCTCCAGCTGCAGTCCCTCAAGGAGCTAGGGGCGGCTGGCGTCCAGGTCCGTGTCGGCAAGGGCACCTCGGTCAAGGCGGCTTACGCCGCCGAGAACCGCACGGACGTGAGCATCGGCGCAGGCCTCGCGGGCATCCACCACGCCAAGACGGTGCTCGTGACGAGGCCGGACTCCACAGTTAGCGCCGTGATAGGAAGCCTAAACTTTAGTGCTAGTTCACGGGCCAACGCGGAGGTCGGCATCGCGGTCGCCAGTGTGCTGACCTCTGAATTTAGCCAAAAGTGGCTAGATTCGTTTGGCACCGAGTGGTCCAAGGCGCTGAAGCTCGAGGAGTTCGAAGCACCTCAGCGGAACCACCGCGGGCGGGCAAAACCCTCAAATGTCCAGCAGCCCGCCGCGCAACCCAACGTGGAGCCGCAGTGACCGTGGACTAGAAGTCGCGGACTGCGCTCCGCCCTTCTAGCCACCTGTGGCAACTTCAGTTTTGGTCGCAGCACCTAGCTGCTTTCCGATGAGACGACAGGGTGGCGTATCCGCTCTACAGGTCTTTGACGGGAGCGGCTAGGGAGGCACGGTAGTGCTCCCGAAGCGCGTGGAGTAACGCCGCAGCTTCAGCTGCTCGTTTCACCAGCCCTGTGGCCGCAGTGCGGCGCAGGCTGTGTACAGTAGGAAACCAGAGCCTCGTGCAGCACAGGCCGTGAAAAACGAAGGTCTTGTGCTGAGTGCGAAGGGTTTGTAGGAGGGCAGGGTCTGTAGGTCAGTTTTACGGCCTCCGGCCGCCCGCGGAATCCTACGGCTCTATCGTGCTCTCGGCTGAGGGGCGAATGTAACTGTACATAGTCTGCGGGCTGGCTGTTGTGCTGTATGCTTTTATGCATGCTCTTCTGTAATTCGTATTCATAACATTTTTGGCTCAAGTGAGCACGGCAGTGTGTCGTTGGTAGCTTCTCGTTGCCGCGACGCAATTGCGCGCAGCCCGTCCTGGGCGGACGTTCGACCTGTCACGGTCGTTGGACTTTCTGCTTGGACGGAAAACGAGGGTGCGTGCTGCCCCTTTGGGTTTCCGTTCTCCACAACTACGACTACAACTGCGACGACGACGACAACAACAACTACAACAACAACTACACTGCTGCTACTACTACTACTACTACTGCTGATGATATATATGCTGCATTGCCCATAACAAGGAATATACCATACTTCCCATAGTTTAGCGTCCTTAAGGTAATGCAGGGTTTATATCATCAACCGTACTACTACTACCTCTGCTACTACTGCTGCTACTACTACTACTACTACTACTACTATACTACTACGGCGACTACTACTACTCCTACTCCCACTCCTACTCCTACTCCTCCTTCTACTGCTACTGCTACTGCTACTGCTACTGCTACTCCTACTCCTACTCCTACTACTACGACACCACGACTGGTGCTACTGTTACTGCTACAAGGAAGAAACTACTACAAATGAAACTACTGCATGACAGACGACTGCCATGTTTTTCGTGAATATTCATGGTCTCAACCATTACAACAGCGATGCTAAGCATGCTAGTGTGCTGACGGTACCCATGCTGGCCACTACAAAACAAAGACATACAAGATCATATGCTGACTCTGCTCAACACTTTCCCCAAGGTTCAATAATACAGGGGCCTGAATGATTCGAGTAGGTGTGTGTGCGTGTGTGTGTTTCTTTGTTTGGGGGGGTATATTATACTATACTTATAAGTAGGAGCCCGCAAAATGCCCCGAGAGTGGGGTTTAGGATGAGACGTCTGGGCTCATAATCACGATATCGGCAGCAGCTGGAGCCAGCTCGAAATGAGAGAGCTAGCTAAACCCCAAAGGTCCTGAATAGCAGGATAGTATGGTAGATTACATAGTGTAGTATAGCACGTTATATCATATAGCACAGTGATTGCCGAACGCCTCTCAAGGAAAGGAAAGCCAGCGAGCCTTTCTCCGGTAGCAGAAGAAGCTTCGTTCCTGTGGAAGGCAGCCCGATGTGTTCAAGCGCCGAGTTTGAGACCGTACAAGGAGGGTTGTTTTGCTTTCGGGCTATGACTATCATACTTCTATAAAGCACCATATGGTTACGATATTATAATACTGCTATAATAATACTTACTAAACGATCGTCAGCACCATTTAACATAGCATTCAGGGTGGCGGGCTCAGAAACCCTCCGACCCTGAAGGCTCAGAAACACGAAGCTCTTCGTCCTAAAGAAACAGAAGCTTTTTGGGGGTCTTTTGAAGGTTTAAGGTTTACGGAGGGTTTAGGGGCTTAGGGTTCCAAAAAAGGGCTTTAAGAGGTCTTTTCAGGGTTTCGGTTTTAGGGTTTTGGGGCGGCTTCAACAGGGGCTTCACAGAGGGTTGACGCGGCAGTTGAAGCACTTCATGGGGCCTTCAACCCAATCACGAACCGCGAGCCCTCCAAAAGGGACCTTAGCAATTCGGAAGAACGTGATATCGTAGAGTGTGGCACGTCAAGGACTACAAGGGGATGTTGTTTCTGAATAATTCCGAACCCCCAATTGATGCTCAGGCTTGGCAGTCCTGGAAGGGCTCTGCCGATGGGTACCACGACTTCGTCGCCTGCTACTCAAATGTACCCCGAGCAGCAGCACCAGTAGTTCGTGAACATGACGTGTAGAAGGACAACGCTGCCAGAATGAAGATTTGATCAAAGGCTGAATTTCAATATGTCCCTTCAGTGAGAAGCACGCGGCAGCGCAGATCAAAAGCATCAAAACACATGAAAACACATTGCAGGGTGCATGTGTACGCAAAGCTGTCTAGGCAGCGTGAGCTCAAGAAGATGAATGCATGCGATTTCGTGAGTGTAGATAGAAGCAGGATACCCAGTTCCCGCGCACATACGAGCTTTGAGGCTTTGATGCTGTAGACACAGCAACATGAATGCCTAAGACAAAGGGCTTGCCTGCTTTTTGAAGGCATTGTGCCATGCGCCCCTCTGCGTTCGCTAGACTCTTTCGGGTTGCAAGGCTGCGCATGTGGCACAATGTCTGGGGTTAAAGAAGGCGTCTTGTCGAAGCTCTGTGGCCAAGCGTCGTGCATATGCACGTGTATGTCTGCATATGTACCTTGTTATGTGTATGTGTATGTACGCATGTGGATAAGAATGTGACTATGTATAGGCATATCTATATCTATGTGTCTTTGGGGTACATCCACATATATAGAAGAACATATGTATATATATATATATAGAAATCTATATCTATTTATGTATAGACATATATTAACTATACACATAACACAAGCACATGAAGACGAAGACCCGAAGCTGGCCAGCTGTGATGGCCTCGAAGCCGATGTGCTGCCGACCAGATCGTCGTCTCAGTGGGGCCATAAGCATTCCTCGGGCTCTGCGGGCTCTGCGGGCTTTGGGGTGCTCAAGGTTTAAGGCTTATGGGCTTCAGGTTGAGGGTGTTCAGGCTTTAGGTCTTTCAAGCTTCAGGGGGTGTGGGGTGAGGGGTGTAGGGTGTTTAGGATGGAGGGTGTGGGGTTTAGGGGTGAGTTGTAGCTCCAGATTATGAGCCCCCACCCCCGTAGGGCTTTGCACAAGACAGGTACCTTAAAGGGAGCCGTTGATGCAGAGCAATCACTCTGATTTCGACTCAGCCCGTGGTACGTGTCAAGGTGTTGCTTTCTTGAGTTTGGCGAAGCCGTGTAGCCAAGACTCAGTGGGACGGTCGTAGGAACGTTGTACAGCCTTGCTGTGTTTGAAAACATAGACAAATTGTCGATGAGGCTGCTGGCAAACAGAGCTGTCCGTGGATAAACCGCTGGTGGAGCCCAGAATCCAAACTCCGGCGCCACAAAGCTGCGAGAGCGGGAGGACCAGCTGCCCTGAAAAAGCCTGCAGCGCGGCTTCGGAGTTCGGGTTTCTGGAAGCTTCGGGCTTTTCGGCTTAGGGGTCTATAGGGCTTTCGTGTTTCAGGTTGAGGTTTCAGGGTTGGGGTTTTGGATCTTTGGAGGAGAAGTGGCTTCCCCCACAAGGGTCACTTGGGGCCTGATCTTCGCGCCAGGAGCGCCAGCAGACAACCCGAGTAGATGTGGGGCTGTGGTATTGCAAGCTCGTACAGGAGGAGCATTGGGGTGACACAGAAGAGCAACTTTTCCAGATTACGGGATTAGGGCTCTAGGTGTTTTCTGAAAGGATCATGGGACTTAGTAATTTCACTGTGGCTATAATTCAGGAAACTATACTATACTTATAGCTACTTATAGCCTTATAGCCCCCATTAAGGTGTTCGTTGCTACGTCCTCTGATCCTCCAAGTTTAGGGTCGACTGTTGCCGACTTTTGCACGCTGGGATTGGCAGGTAACCCCATTTTTGGCGATCATCCGGGGCCTGAAGGCTTGGAAGAGGATTCTTGCGGTCCGCTGTAGTCTGGTACACTGGGGACAATGCTTGGAGGGGCAGGGGACTTAGTAAGTAGGTGATAGGTAGAGTTATAAATACCCTAAATGGAGTTACCCCAACTATATCCATACTGGTACACGACTTACTACGTCCCCTGGCCCTCCAAAAAAGGGAATACTGCTACGATCCTGTAGTAGCAGTGACACTCCGCAGAGTGATGATCTGAAGGTGGCCCCTCGTTCCATGGCAGGGGCCCCTTACCGCTCAGCTTCAAAACACTAAAGCGTCAGTATAAGGATTATATTAGGGCCCTATTATATTCTTATTATAGGGTGGGAGCCCCTTCTAATGTATATCTGGTATCCTCTCTCCTTCAATAACCGGGCCCAAAAAAGTTTAAACTTTCTAAGATAGACCAAATGTATACGACTAAAAAGTTTAAAGTTCCCCTATTGGCTATCTAAGGGTCTCACGGCTTCGGATTCGATTGCTTGAGGGTTGGGGGGCGGTTCGGTTAGCGACGATCGTCGAGAACTAGTGCTTGCATGTTTCGGCCTCTGTATCGTGACAGACCTCAGTGTGTGGTAATTTTGGCGGCTGGGCTTCAGGACAAGCGCCCTTTCAGCGTGCGAGGGCCTGAGATTCAGCGCTGTGCTTCCTGAGGCTAAGGTCTTGCTTGCCATTGTATGACGTACTGTTTGAGGTGGGCTGGGGATGACCCTCTTCCCCCTGCAGGGCAAAGGGCCGGAGGCTCGCCTCCCCGCCACAGACTGCAGCGACGTTCTCGCCGCCTTTCCAGCCTTCGGAGAAGGGCTTCGGGCTTGGATTTGGGCTTTCGGGTTCAGGCTTTAGGGGTTCAGGGGTTTGAGATTGAGGGGTTTAGGGTTTAGGGGCTTGGGGGTTTAGGGTTGAGGGCTTCGGGCTCAATGTAGACAAGGATTGCTGTATTGGTTTCAAGGTTGAGGCCCTAGGGCATTGGGCTTAGGGGTTCGGGCGATGGCTTCGTGTAACCCCGAGAAATGTCTTGGGGCACAGTGCAAATGCATCACGGCTTGCCCTGGGCTTTGTTCTCCAACGACGACAGTGGAATGCGTAAACACTGAACCCTGATCCTGCACAACACTGAACCCTGATCCTGCACACTAAACACAATAGGATGCCTGGGATGCTACAAACAACAAGAACCATGGCAGTACTAAGAAGACTAGCAATCTTATAATCCAGAATAGGAGCTCGCAGAATCAATCTGAAATCTTTCACGCTCTAAGCTCTTCTTGTGCAGCAAGCAGCATGTTTCGCTGGATAGCAACAGTGAACGCACCACTACTCACCCCCCTCCGCAGCCACATCTGACACTTAGTGGGTCCTGTGGAGCCTTCTTATGCATCATAAGGCGTTGTATTGAGGTGGGGAATCAATTTTGAAGAGTTCGGGTATTGAAGAAATGGAACGACCGTCTTTCGATCTCGCAGTTCTGCAACAGCTGACATGCTGCAAGGCTATTGGTCCTGTTAATCAGCTGCGAGTTTACAGCTGAGGGTCTGATTTCGAACCAGGCCGCTCGCACTTGTGCTTAGCAGTCCGACCACCCTGAGTTCGAGCAATTCAAAGTCTGGATTGAAAGGTCTGGATGGCCTGGGTTTTGTATGAGACTATGCAGACACTCTTCCACGAAGGTGCCAGCACTCTTTCTGGGTCTTTGAGAGGCTTTCGGTGTGGTTGGTGCTGGGCTTCAGCTGGCGAAGAAGTATGGACCGAGGCGGCGCCGACCCTCAGGGGTTACGGGTTTCTGCTACGAGCTCAGTCCCTGCAGCCTGCTTGAAGGAGGGAGCGAAAGCTTGTTGGCGTCGCCTGCAATGAACAGCAAAAAAGTTGCCAGTTGCACGGGCAGTGTAGAGCGATAGTCCACGCTAGGCGGAGTTTACGTTCGATGCGAAACCAACATCAAGACTGACACACCACACACACACACAGACTTACGCACTTACACTTCCCTCAAGTAAGAATACCGAGCTAGGTTGGGGCCAACTTGAATCCCTGAAAAATGGTCGTCAGTTAGATGCTCCTAAGCCGAAGAAGCTGAACTACAAACTATCTTAAAGGCCTACCTAGTGAAGAGGCCAGGATGCAGGTTCAGGGTTTCGGAGTAGCGCCTGCATGGAATCTTCCGATATTTGCGTGTCTTTGGCCAACAGCCCTTCTTTGTTCCGGGGTGTGGATGCAGAGTTCGTTTACCCTCCGATTTTTCTGGCTTACTTGGATGCCGAATCAGAAATACTGCACGTGCAGGCCAAATGTCAGTACTGGCGGTAAAACTGAAGCCTGAATTGCGACTAGGATTCCTGAGGACTCCTTTGAGAATAAAACAAGCTACAACATAAACCAATATTCGCGCTAAGGCCTGAGCCGGCTAGCAGAGCTTTTGTCGCAAAACCGCTTTTGAGGGTTTCGGCAACTTGGGCCCGGCTCGACCTTGCCTGAAAGATGAGCCGCCCCTGCCTGCCACGAGAAGATCAGAGTCTGGAGTCTACAAATCTTGGGTCTATGCGTGTATGGCAAATCTTGGGTCTATGCGTGTATGGCATCTGAATGTTGCATGTTGGGTTCTCGATAAACTCGTCGCAAAACAGGAGCGTGGATATACCTCAAAACCTAAACCCTAAGCACAACCCTAAATGCTAAAAGCCAAAGAGCCAAACTCTAAAACCGTCCACCCTGTTGCTTGGGTTTGGGGCGTTCAGAAGGCTTTGCTTAGCTTGAGCCCTCATGACGGGCAAGGGTTTTCAAGGCGCAGCAGAAACGGGCCTTAATTGATACTTAGAATGGGGTCGCTAATTTCTTCAGGTTTCTGCGTTTGATGGGTGCATTTTTTGTGCGGCTGGTTTGAAAAAGCTAACTTTGGCCCCTATACCAAGATGGGCATTGTACGGTTTAGCGAAACCTTACAGGAAGGACAGCCGGAACCCCAGACCCTACATCCTTCAACTATAAGATTCAAAATCTGCACAGACTTCGTAATCCGGGGCAGCAGCGCTGGCCATAATGCATCTTGGCTTTGCTATTGCGATTGGTAACATCACCATCATCAGTGCTTCTGTTCGCGCTGCTATGATGAGCAATCCTATGAATGTTGTGATCGGAACGACTGTTCGTTTGAATCAGTTTGCACCCCTAAAGCCGTTAACTCCAAAGCCAAACAAAACCCTACAAAACCGAAACGAATCCCTAGACCTAAACCCCTAAACTCTAAATCTATAGATCCCTCTATAGAGCCCTTCAAAGGAACTGATATGTAGAACCCCATTTTTCCTCTAAGCCCTCTCTGCTAGACGCTCTATCATAAGGATCCTTCGGGGGGTAGGGGGGGGGGGTAGGGGACCTTCATACCTATAAACCCTAAACCCTAATCGGTGGCCTATTTGGGAGTTTCCGAAAATAGGGGTACCTTATTTGGGGATCCTTATTATATGGATCCTAGTATTTAGGGTATTATATTAGGGTCCCCCTATTTCCGGAAAGTCCCATTTAAGGATGCTCCAAGCTCGCCCACCTGGGCTCGGGCCGCCTTGACGACAGCAGCGCCTCGAGACTCCTGGCTTCTCGCTACTTGAAGGATCATGGGACTTAGTAACTAGGGTTATAAATGAGGCAACTATACTTATAGTTACTTGTAACTCCAATTAGGGGACTTCTAATCTTACATGCATTCAGATTCACAGGCAGCAAGCTGAATATTCTGTTTATATATATATAGATAGATAGATGGATTTCTGTATGTCGTTATATGTGGAGGTACCCGCGTATGTATATGTATATGTATATGTGTATGCAGCGCTGTCCCAGGATAGGTATGTATGGCAAGCACAAGAAAATCCTTAACACACGTTGCCACTACAGGAATAAAAAATACATATCTATATGCATATCCGATATCTGTATATGCACCTGTATCTAGATCCCCATCCAGATCTCTACATTTCTATCACCCTACATGTCTTCTAGCGACTAGGATATTCTTGTCTCTTTCTGGGTGCAGCTACTCTTGTCTCTTCCTGGGCGTGCTAACTCCACGACTCCTGCCGCTGCGGGCCGTGGCCGCCGAGCAAAGGACGAGACCTCAAAGCTCAGCTCTTGGAACTTTGTGACCTATCCATGTTTAGCATGTGACATGCAACATGTCACATATGATGCATGACATATAACCTATGGTTTATATATATATATATACACACGTATATGTGTGATGATGCACGTTATATACCTTGTTATATCATATATAACATGTATGTATGTTAGTAGTACAGAGCATGCGGTATGACACATACCATAATGTAGCATAAAACAAGATAGTGTAATATGATATAGGATATGAAATGCAATTACACAGCAGCTACACACAACATACAAGATGCAACATGTAATCTGTAGTAATATAACATGCACTGAGTCATTATCTATGTATGTAAATCAGAACATTTAGAATACACTATATCATCTGCAACCCATAATATGCATGTATCTCTATGTACAGTTAAGCCGAATATGACCCGTGTGGCAACCCTTCTAGGAATCCCTTATCGAAAATGCCTATGGGAAACTCTGAGAGTAACTCTTGTACTGAGACTACCAGGGACCCCCTTGTAATACCCCGATGGATCCCTAAGCTGAACACCCTTTTCTGGGGCCAAAGTTTTGGTGAAGAGCTGCTTCTGAGCATGTAGATCAGGGATGACGAGAGATGTGTGCGCCCTCTTGCGAAAGGGTTTCAGGTTGAGAGCTCTTGTTGCGGGTTTAAGGCCGGATGCCCTTCCAACCCTTCCAGGCCAAGCTGCGAAATCCGTAGCACAGCGGCCAGAACATCCTTGCGGAGGCTGGCCGTCAGGGTTTAGGATAAGTCTATGGCTTAGGGTGTAGGGTTGAGGATTTAGGGGTCTAGGGTTGAGGGTTCAATGTTCTACTACCATTACCAGTACACTGGCCTTGCACACGTCTCAAATTCAGGTCTACCGAACAGCGGAGCGCAGAAGACTAGAGCCAACCGACCAAAGGAAGCCCATAGAAAGACTACTAATTGAGTAGATTGGACCAGATTACGTTAGTTTAGATTAGTTTGATTTGGATAGGCTTTTAGATTGTCTGGCAACCGGGACTCTCCAACACGGAGATATCGAAGCAGAAGGTCGTGACAGCCACGAGCACGTCGTCCTCGCTCGCAGCGCCCTGCGCCAGAGTTTCTCGATCCGGAACTACTACAGCCGAAACCAGGGGCCCAATAAACTATGATTATAATAAGGAACCCTCGATAAATGATGATTGGGGCCTTGATAATTCGAACAGGGTTCGGGGGCCCATTATACTATAAATATAATAAGCAACCCCCAAAATAGTATGGGTAATTACTTAGGCCCCTACCGCAGCCGAAACCCTGAATGCCATTTACTAGAGTTTCAGATTGTTATTGGCACGTGGTCGCATGAAGCGGGACGTGTCTTCGATGATGTGAAGTTGAGGTCTTGTCGTCTACGTGTCCATGACGGCTGCACGTGTGGCCACCCCTCCCCTCCAACAGCGTCATCTAGTCAGTTTTGAGTAGTTGCTGCAGTCCTGCTCGCGCTGCTCTCTCGCCTCTTGCTTCTTTACAACAAGCACCGCCATTAGGGGAGTTTTATTAACTTGCCGCCCGCTCTTGTGGCACGATCATGAAAAGCGATGCGAACCTGATGAGAACATTTTTTGCGCTCTGGGAATGGGGCGGATATCGAGTTTTGATCGAAATGGGTATCGTTCGGATGCTCTGGTGTCGCTGTCTTTGCTGATTCATGGTCTTTCGGCTGACTTACTGTGGCTGCACGAGCCTCTTCTAGAGTGGTCTTGCCAAACTTCGGGTAACGGTCTCCAACATCACAAGCGCGTGTGCAAGGATCTCAGGCTGCAGAGGCCACTGTTCGTCTCTGTTTGCGACTGCTTGACGCCATTGTGTCAAGCGGAAGTTTGGAAAGAACACCATGAGCACTGTGGGCGACCACTTCGAATGGTTTAGGCTGGGGTCAACATGCTGGCAGAACAACTGACGTCGTCCACGAGTCGTCATAGTTGTACTCGGTACAGCTGAGGGCACATTATGACACAAGACTGAGCCTGCTCAAGATAGCCTAGCATAAACGTTGCTCAAGGAAACCAGCTCAACAATCACTAGCAGCACTAGCAACAGTACTGCATAAGGCAAATCTCAAGAAAACCTGCTCAACAAGTACTAGTAAAGGATTTGCATAAGGTAAAGCTACATAGCACTGGCGCACAACTAATCAGCATAGGACCTTCAACAAATAGAGCTGGACTCCAGCCCTCAACCTTAAACCGTACTGCTTCCAAGCCTTTCGAACCATGTCTTCAAACGCATGCAGCACGTTCGTCACAGCTCCAGTGGCAACTCGAACACCTTCGGGGCAGAGAAGTAGTACATCTTAGACTCGAGCTATCAAAACCCTAGGCCCGGGCCGTAGTATCTCTGTACAGTACAATGACGCGCGATTTCGCTTGAGTTTGAGGGGGTCTTCTCTGAAATTACACCATAGTACACGGTATATATGTATATATATATGTATATATATATGTATATATATATATATAAGTTAATATACATATAGATATAGACACATATTTATGTAAATAAGTTTGTATATATATAGAGATATATAAAAGTATTTGTGTATGTATGTGTGTGTGTGCGTGTGGATGATATGTTAATCAAGTACTCTTTAAAAGCTTTCGAGGGTCTGGAAACAATCGAGGATTTTTGGGGGTTTCCGAACATCGGGGACAGTAATATGCTAACTTAAATAGTAGGATCCTCATTTATAAGGACCCCAGAATAGGGTAGCCCTAATTTTCGGAAACTACCATTTAGGGTTGGGTGCTTTTGAGGACCCAGACCGTGGCCTCTGACCCTCCGAAGGTCCGAAGATTGCCAGCGCTGGTGAACAAAGGTGACGCAAAGCCGGCAGAATGTCGGCCGGAAGCTCAGCAAGACAGTCCCATCGGCTCAACATGTCCGCAAGCTTGTTGCGTTCGCCAGCAATGTGGGACGCATCAAGATGCCCCGAAGATTGCCATGCAAGAGTCGCCAGCTTTTGCACGAAAAGGCATAGCGGTACGGTTGATGACATACATCCTGCATTACCTTAAGGACCCTAAACTATGGGAATTATGGTATATTCCTTATTATGGGTAATGCAGGATTTATATCATCAACCGTATCACTGTGGTAAAAATTTGCTGCAAACGGCCTGGGTATCACTGTTGTCTGTCCAGGACGGAATAGTGATGCGCATGCGTCCGCCCACACAGGCCGAGCTGAAAACATAGACCAATGTACTTTGGGCTAACATCTGTTGGGCCCAGGAATAGTGTTGGTAATTATTTAGGCCCTTATAGTATATCCCTATAAAAGCCCTTCTAGTAACCCTAATTAACCCCTTTAAAGGAACCCTGGAACCCCATAGGTAATTCCCAAAATAGTATTGGTAATTATTTAGAGCAAAGCTGACAGGTTCCTGGGTGTGCGGCCTTTGATCTCTGAGAAGGGTCCACATCGGCGTTGAGGGTTTTGTCGTTAAGGTTTTTGGGGTTGATGGTTTTAGGGTATCGCTGGTTTAAGGTTTTGGGCATCAGATTTGGATGATGTGTATATGTATGTGTATATACATATGTAGAAACAAACCTATGTGTGCATCCATATGCCTCTTCCAAAGTCGCAGCTTTCGAACGAATTCGCTTGGGGCAGGCTTTAGGATCTGATGAAGACTTCAGTTTCGGAGGGCATTCATACCAAGCGAACCCTAGGCAGGGCTCCACGATCTAGGATCGACTAGGATTTAAGGTCCAGAGCATAGGGCTGCAAGCGTGCCCCGCCTTTTGGTTTGCCTGTGGATCCCGAGGTGTAGATCACATAGGCCAAGTCGCCTGGGGCCTGTGGACTTGAGGGGTTCATAAAACCGGGGGGGGGGAGGGCCCCTTCTTGAGTTTGAGAAGGCATATATTTTTTTTAAGAAAGGTAGTTTTCTTAAAAGTGAATGGTTCCGTCTGCTATTTTGGAGGTCAATAGTGAGGGCCCTGAATTGCTGAAACTCGGGGTTCAGGCTTCGGGCTTAAGGTTCTGGGATCGGAGGCGTTTTGAAGGGCAGAAGAAGATCTACCCTGGAACCCCCAAAACCCACACCCGACCATGCTACCTGTCACAAGGGGAGGTGACGCGGAATCCCTGCTTCGAAATGATCTCCTATCGCACGCTCCTTGCTTGGGCTTGTGAACAAAATGCCGGGACATTGGGTTTCGACACGTTCACAACAGGGAAGAACTTTGGACGACTCTGAACTATCCAGAAATAATTCTGTATCCCCATGAAGGCTTAAGCCCGGGCTATCATGCGATGCCCTCCATCCAAATCGAACTCTCTCAGCGACGGGTTTAGGAGTTTAAATGTGAACATAGGTTGCCTTCTGTGGGCACTGCATCAAACAACACAGGTTTTTACGCATTTTTTGCTCGCAGTGAAACGTCTAATTCAGCGTAGTCACACGCTGGTAAAGTCAAAAAATCACTGGGCTACCATATAGAATCCCAAATAAATTTCCAAGGTTGTTCTTAGGGTAATTAGAGTAACATATACCCAAAACCCCTATTCTATCACTGGGCTGCCGTTTGACACAACTGAAAGCCACGGAGTCGCATGGCCATTTTGATGCACGAATATGAAATTGGCCTTGAATGACTGCGAAACAATAGACCTAAACGCCTCCCCTTCTAAAGCTGACAACTCATCAGCTGGTGCATGCAGATAACAAGGCGGAAGTGTCTCTTGAAGAGTCATACTTGCGGACACTTCGAAACCGCCGCGGCCTCCGCGGCAGGTTCGGGGAAGGGTGCCTTGGAGTCCTCCTCCAGCTCACCGCTGGGCCACAGAAGCCTGCAGCCGGGCGTGTAGCCCGGGGTTTAACGGTTTAGATCTAGGGTCACAGGGGGGGAGTTCAGATGCGGCAGCCACTGCTGCGAGTTGCCCCTCGACGGCGGCGGCAGTCCGCTAGTACCACTTGCTGTCGATGAGCTGCTGATGCAGAGGCTGTTGCTGGTAATCTGCTCGTGCTGCTACATATGCAGAAATAATCAGGAACTCTCAAAGCTTGCACTTCTGACTGCTCGGACCGTGCTGCACAGGCCCACCTCAACGTCGCGCTGGAAAAGGCGGCGAGGTCCTGCGACCAGGAAGCCATGAACCAGCGTGCCCCGATGCCTACTTCGTAACTATAGTATTATACTAATGTAATTTTGATACTTTATTCACCTATATTCTATTCAAGTCAATTCTGTCCGATTGCTGCGACAACTGCTACAGGAGCGCTGCTGTCAATGCTCGTGTCCTGCTCATGCTCTCACTCTCTTCGTCCGGCTTTTTGGCGCCCCATACCCCGAAGCCCGAATCCCGAACAACCTTTCCCAAGTCAAGAAAGCCTTCCCTTGTTCTCCAAATCCTTCTTTCCCTGGGCCCTTTCCGAGTCAAGGCCCACTAAGTAAACCCTAACTGGGTTCTCGATAAGAAATTAGGTTCAAGATACCATAATAGGGATCTATAGTAATCATATGGTTTCCTATTATGGTAACATATTTAAATCCATGAAAAAGAATCCAGCATTACTCCTCTGGACTGGGTCCTTGGGCTCCGTTCTCCGCTCTGCGATGAGGAGGCGCGCCTGCTCCGGGTGCTTGGATCCGGCGACTTCGTAAGTTTCCGTAAAGGGTTTCCTAAAGGGGTCCAGAAGGGTACGATAAAGGGGATATGGGACTTAGTAAGGGGGGTTAAGTGCCTTAGTTGGGGTTGTCCTGATGTATAACCCTGGTTGCTCAGCGCCATGATCCTTGAAGTTGCAAAGGCGTAACGCAGGAACAGTGTGTTCGAAGTTCGTAGTTAAAAGAAGAATGACAAGACAGTGTCCCAGTCGTGCTATGCGGCACTCTTAAACTGCGCAATGATGTCAAGACGTAAACTTCCTCACATCCACGGGCATGCAACGGTGTCTGCAGGTTCGAGTTGGACAACAGAAGAGGAGACAAATAGAGGCATCGGGACAGCAATACAAACTGCAATAGAGAGGTATAACTCGACCAATGCATCCTTTAAGTAAAGCCACGCTGGTCCCAGCCCGGATGCGCCTGCGAGTCTTCGAGGAGAAAGCGGAGGCGGGCGACTGGCTGAGAGGGCTCCAGAGGAACCTTGGTCTTCCGAATGTGGAGAACATTGTTGCTAATGCTAGTCTTGCTGATAAAAACTTAAATGGATGGATATGCACAGACATGCATGTTGCGTAATGTTACATACCCATGCGCTTTTTCTTATGGTGTGCATGACTGAAGCCCTTGGGCTTGGTGTGCTCACGGCTTCGGGATGCCTGCGCAGTCGCGGCAAACACTAAGCCTTGTTTCATTCATCGCCGCCATTCTTATTTCATTCATCGCTGCCATCATCATCATCATCTCCAACGCCATTGCCATCACAGCCAGTCCCTCTTTTCACCATAGGCTTCGTGATCGCAAGGGTAAACAGCATCACCGCCATCATCATGCAGCGGAGCGCACAGATGAGAAGATGCAAGCTGCACCTCGAAGCCGTAGCAGAAAATACCGAAATGCAGTCATCCCCCAGACCCCAAGAGCCCGCACCCGCCGCACCCCAAGCCCAAAACCCATGTGGAAGCCGGAGTCGCGTACGCGGCGCCCGCGTACCAGACCGCCAGGAGAGCCACCGGCAGCGCAGGGCCTTCCCAGAGCGGAACGGAAGGATCTACAAAGTCTAAACAAATAGAGAAGGTTTCCCTTAAAAAGGTACAATAAATAATAAGGAACCCCCAAAATACCTATGTTATAGGGCCCTACTTCGGGACTCTGTACTACAAAAAGGGTACCTTCTAGGAAGCCTAAACCCTAAGCCCTATAAGGGTACCTTTTCGGAACCCTACACCCTAAACCATCCTAAGCCTTATACTACCAAAGGGTATCTTAGAGGAATCCCCTCAAGGGCACTACTTTTGGGATCCTCCCAGGGGTCTGGATTGTTAAACTCCAGGTCCCGGCTTTCAAGGGCCGCCTTCTAAGGGCAGGCCTCAGTCAAGAGAGCAATAATAACAAGAACACTATAAATAATAATAACAACAATAATCATAATAACAATAAAGAAAGTAAAAATAAATAAGAAATGCAACAACGCTGGGAATTTCAACGCTCATGATACTACTAGGGTTCTCTTAAAGTGCTCCTCTTTCGGGATTTTGTCATAGTTTTTCTAGGGTTTGTATCTACAGGCAAGGCTCAGCAGAGCAGGCTTTAGCCGGAGCTTCGGATTTTGGTTTAGGGAGGTCTGAGATTCAGGCCTCCAGCGCTGAGTGAAGTTCCGGGTCTTCGGGGACCAATATAGGCGCGTGAACAAACGGTTTAGGGCTTAGGGTTTAGAGTTTTGGGGCACTTTCTGGTACATTTGTAGGGTTTAGGGTTTAGACCTTGGGGCATTTTATGGTACATTTGTAACCGCGAAAACAGAAGGAGACAATGGGTAACCGGGTAGCTGTGCCGACTGCTAGGTGATGTGAGTTGGAAGCTTGATGTCCAACCACCGGAGCAGCTGGGCCGCAGGCTCTGGAGGCGGTTTTGGGTTTTTAGCTTTGGGGTTTAGGCTTTAAGGCTTGGCTTTTAGCTGTGGGATTTAGGGTTTAGGGTTGAAGGTTTTTAGCTTTGGGGTTTAGGGTGTAACGGTTGGGGCCGTGTAGGTGTGAGCCGCTCGTAACATAGTCAAGGTGTGCGAAGGAACGTACCTTGATCAGGGTTATAAGCAGTTATAAGTCTAGTTACATTTCTTATAACCCTGATCCTTGAAGTAATCCTGCCAGTCCCATGTCCAAGTGCCTCGAGGCAAGCACACAGCGACAAGAGCGTCGTCGAGCGGCCTCGTCGTAGGTTCAAGGCCCCGAAGCCTTTCAAAAGGAGCCGTTACAATACATTTCAGAGTGCATGTCCCTCGTAGTACACTTGACAGTGCATATCCCCCAAGCCCGAAAACCTGAAGCGTGGCGCTAATTACCTTTCGTGCGGTCACTACGAAGACGACTACTTCTCCCTCTCCAGCCTGCGGCTCAGAATCCTTGTACTTATGCCTAACCAAGGTCCTGGCTCTTCAGCCTGTATGTCTCAGGGTCTGAAGCCTAACTGTTGCGCTCCGCGTCTAGATAGTTTAAGGTTTCGGCGAACTTGAACGATTGGACGAGGGTTCTCGGATGCTTCTTCTCGCAGTGCACGGAAGCTCAGTTTCCTGCAGGGTGACCTTTGGAGCTGGGCCCCTTGGCGGCGGGACTGGATGGTGTCCAGCTCCCTGAAGTTCAGGGAACTCCAGAAAGTTGGAATATGGTTTCATGGTAGGATACCCTATAATTTACCATAGAAGGGTTAGGATAATCATCTTCCAACTTTCTGGCTTCCTTAAATCATATTAAGGACCCTACTATAGCCTTAAGGTCTATTCCTTAAGGGATGTTGGAGTCCCTCGGTATGCCAAATCCAGCGCTGGGAGGCCAGCGGAGCGAAGCCAGGCCGGTGGTCCGAGGGAGGTACATGGGAGCTTCCGAAAATTAGGGGGGTACCTTTAAAGGGATCTATAAGGGTTCCTTTAAGGGTTCTTTAAAGGGATCTATAGGGTTTAGGGTTTGGGAGCTTCCGAAAATTAGGGGTACCTGATTTTGGGGTCCTTATAATAAGGATCCTACTATTTAGGGTACTAGATTAAGGTCCCCTTAGTTTCGGAAACTCCCACATGGAGCTGGGGGGCTCTTCGAGCCAAGTCAACTGGAACCCTATCTGCATCCGGGCTCCATCCAGGGAGGCCTGCTCTAGGCTGACCGCCAGAAGGGCTACATGGGTCGTAGCCTTCGCTGATATCCGGATGTATGCCACGGTCACTTGTAGCGTGGTGAAGGGGGGGGTCGGGGTTCGGGCTCAGGTTGCAAAGGCTGTAGAGTCTACTTGAAGCATCAAGGGACCTGAATTGGGGCGACAAGTAATTGTAAGGGCACCCTTTCTGTGATCCTGGTTGCCAAGTGAGTGTAGTGTAGCCTACCAACCTTTTCGAAAACAGGATGTTGGGCAAAGGAAATAAAGGGGACACTTACTAATAGAGTGGGGTTTAGGGGCCCATTATACCATATTTATAGCAAGGAACCTCGAAAATAGTATTGGTAATGATAGAGGCTTCTGTTTAGGCTCTGAGGGCTCAGGGCCTGGGTTGGGAGTGGGTCTGAAAAGTTGGTGATGATATATCCCCCTTGCGTCCCTGCGTAGGTAGAGATTCTAAATGTTGACCCTAAGCCCCAAACCCAAAACCCTATTGTAAGGTCCCTATACTAAATCCTCACAGTAACCTGTAGCATAACCCTCAACAACAGCCTGTTCAAGGACGAATATTGTAGGGTCCTTATACTGGGGGTCTCCGGCACGGACTCACCATTGGCCTCTCTGAAAAGAAAGGAAGACAGTGCATACTACCTACAGGGCGCCCTAAAAAGTGGGATCAAAGGGCGGTGCAATTTTTCTTTCTCTACCTGGAAGAACTATGGCTGATGCATAGACCACTGGACATTGAACACTGAAACTAGCATGCCACTTGAGGGACTTAGAGCTGAGTCGTCCATAGATCATTACATATTGAATCAAAGACATTCTGACCCACCCGAACCCCAAGCAGCAAAAACCCTCCTTGCCTCTGGTCAGCACGAAGCCGCGACAGGATCGCACTGGCCAACAAGCGTGCCCGGCGCCTCCGACACAGAGGACTGTAATGCAGAGGCCTTCGCAGTTAGAATTGCACTTTGGAGTATATTGGGGTATAGTGTAGTATAACACCCTAAACCCTAAACCCTAAACCCTACATAAGGAATCCTAGGGAATGACGTAGGAAAGTATTCAGGCCCCTGTATTGGGAACTAGCTTGGGGCTTCAGGCTTACGCTCAAGTAACCATTAAGAACCAAAGCCGCTGTCTTGAGAGACAAGCTTTAAATGGTCAAAGCTCCAGTCCCGACACCGAGACTTATAATCCATCATAACCTGAGATATGGCATAGCATACAACATCGCATGGTAATGGTAAATACCACAGAATACAAAACACTATACTCTTGTACAGATTACTTGAGACCTGAACTGCAGCTCGACCAGCGATTCAGGGAACCTCACAACATACCAAAGGGGCCTGAGTGATTAGGATAGGGTTCCAGGAAAGTGGCCGTTCAGGGCTATGTAATATAAGGAGGGGGGAATACTGACAAGGGTTTGGGGGCAGGCTATAGGAGCCCGACTGAATAGCACTGGTAGTTACTCACTATATTGTCTTGAAACTTAGCTGGGCTTCTACTGACCCGAAATCCTGAACCCCTGGCCCCAAACCCTCTAAGCCCTAACCCCTGAACCCCTAAACCCTAGTTAAAGGATCATGGGGCTTAGCAGCGAGTCTTATAAGGAAGGTAACTGTACTTATACTTGGAGGATCATGGGACTTAGTACCCCTACTTGGGGTTATAAGTAATTCTAAGAAAAGTTACCTTAGTTGTAAGTCTAGTTACTAAGTCCCATGATCCTTTAAGTGCTTATGCTTATACCCATAAGTAAGGTATTGAGAACCTTACTAAGCCCCGGATCCTCCAAGTACTGGGATGCATCTCGGCTAGCTGCGGGTTAAGTGCAGCAAGGTACACGGATCGCGCGAGCTCGGCCAGAAGTAGAAATGGATTCCGATCAGCGTTTATGCAAGTTACTATTAGGGCATAGTGTAGTAGCTTTTGGCGCGCGTTGTAAACGCGCGCTCAGGCGCCATCTCATACGAAGGGATTCTCACCAGCTTCGCGATCTTCAAGTATCTATTATGTGGGGCGGTGTGGTCCGGCTGACAATCTGGGAAGCATCTGTTAGCATAAACCTCTAACCAATACGGAAATTGCATCCCTCGTCTACAACCCTTCAGGATGATCCTATCTCCGAAAACGGAACTGAAAAGGACGTTGTGGGTGGGTTCTTCCATGTTTTGTTGAAGGACTCTTACGAAAAGTTGGTATTGGTGGTATCACAGGGTCTGGGAAGGCACTGTTGGTGCCAGGGCTTGTGTCCATACCTCCCGATTAGACACACGAGAGTAAAACGAAGCCTTGATGCCTATGGCCCTTCGGAGGAATCTAAAGTACTGTCCATCGATGCGGCGTAACTGCTTAGGAGTACGCATGATCGTGCATAGGGAGCTGAGCCTTTACTGCACTAAGGCTGCAGGTGAGAAAGAAACCAGTGTAGTCTGCGCAGCACACCCGGGGATAGTAAAGCCTGATTTTGGCATATTGTGCCCCGATAATAAGCGCTGTGTAGACCCTGGTGTAAAGGAAGTCCCACAAGATGTTGGTTGCAAGCATCACATACTCGAACTTTCGAGCACCGCCTCCGAAAGAAAGTCCAGCAGCGGTCTTGAACCGCTTTGTCTCGGTGAAATCCTCGTCCACCAGACGCGATGAACTCTCTCGGTGCTGCTTCTTGACATTCTTCTTGTCGCCCGTATTTTGAGGGGCAGAAAGTCTGCTTATCAGCACAAGCTCCCGAGCTCGGATGGCCAGGACAGACTCGGAAGGAGAATTGTCAGCCGAGCCCTTTCCTTTCGATCACTTGCCACGAAACATGGCAGCGTAGTAGCTTTACTAATTAGAAAAGGGTTTTTGGCAGGGGCATTAAGCTATACGTGTATGAAGGATCTGATTACTCGACTCTCTAGCAGCCCTTTTAAAACTATCATAGGAGCCCTAAGCCCTTAACTCCCAGACCCTAAACACCGGTTGTAGAACCCGATAAACGCGTTGTAGACTCCATGGAATGCCTACAGCGACGCGATAGGCCTCAAACCTCATACCCTGAATTCCAAACCGTTCTCACAAACCGGTACAGGAACCCCTTAAACCTCTCTTGAAGGAACCTTTAAAGCCCCAGAGACACCTTAAAGGAACCATGACTTTACGGGTTTAGGGTTCCTTTAAGGCTTCCTTCAAGGGCTTAGGATTCCTTAAAGGGGTTCCTTCCAGGGTTTAGGATGACCACCAACAAGCCCCCGGAGAGCCGGAGGAGCGGCCTCAAGGTCGCTAGGGTCCAGGAGCCGTGGGCGGGATCCTCACAAGGGAGGCTTTGAGTTTAGGGTTTAGGGTTTAAGGTTTACTGGGATACCCAGTAACCTAAGAAAAAAAAGGCCTCTCTTTTTGGTATTGGGTAACTTTATAAGGAACCTAGGACTACAAAAAGGGAATAAGGGTACTACTGGGCATCCTAGTTTAGGGTGTAGGATTTAGGGTGTAGGGTTTAGGGCTTAGGGTGTCGGGTTCAGGGTAACATAGAGAGCGGTTTCAATTATTAGACTAGGGTTCCGTTTGTAGGGTTCCTTTACAGGGGTCTATATATAAGGGTACTAGAATGTAGGGGCCTTGACAATTAGACAAGGGTTCCTTATTTGGGTTGAGTATAGGGGCCTTAATAAGTAGACTTTTAGGGTTTAAGGGGGTTTAAGGTTTAACAGGGGTTTAGGGTTCAAGGGGGAGGTTAGGGGTTCAAGGGGGTTTAGGGTTTAAGGGCTCAGGGTTTGTTTCGGGTGGGTTTAAAGGTTCAGGGTCTGAGGAAGTTTCCTAGAAGGGTTCTATGGGGGCTACCGTCGGTACCTCTTTCAGGCTTGACCGTTCGGGGCTTCAGGCGGATTGGGGTTCAAGGGCTTGTCCTGGATTTACTTGGAGGATCAGGGGACTTGGTAAGTATGGTTAAAAGTACCCTGATTGGGGTTATAAGTAAGTATAAGAAAAGTTACCTTATTTGTAACTCTAGTTACTAAGTCCCATGATCCTTTAAGTACCCTTCAAACCCCTTATAGATCCCTTCTAGATCCCTTTAAGGAACCCTTCGTTACTAAGTCCCATGATCCTTTAAGTAGGGATGAGGGAGCTTAAGCTTCGGGGGTTTAGGCTTACGGAGTCAAATCAGGGTCAGAGCGATTGGGTGCAAGGGCCTAGGCTTAGGGCGTCTGGGTCTAATGTGACCCTAAACCCTAAACCCCTAAACCCTGTAAGGGCCTTAACAAGTGGAATAGGGTTCTGGGGCACATTATTCTAGAAAAGCAATAAGGAGCATCCCAAAATAGTATATGCAATTGTTTAAGCCCCTGTAGGACACCCCGATTGTAGCCCTTATAGTAATCCTTATAGACCCCTGCATAAAGGAACCCCTAAAAAGAATCCGTGCAGGTCAGTATTAAAGGACCCCTATATTACGAATGAGAGTTTGGAACTTTGGGGTTGGAAAGTGCTACTTGGAGGATCATGGGACTTACTCAGGTTATAAGTACCCTAACTAGGGTTATAAGTGATGACAATAGATAACTTATTTCGCCCTAGTTACTACTAGGATACCCAGTAACCTAAGAAAAACAAGGCCTCTCTTTTTGGTATTGGGTAACTTTATAAGGAACCTAGGACTACAACAAGGGAATAAGGGTACTACTGGGCATCCTAGACTAAGTCCCATGATCCTCTAAGTAGGAGCGGCCCAAGGATTGACACCAGGCCTTAAGGAGTCAGATACTTGAAGGCTCATGGGACTTAGTAAGTAAGGTTATAAGTAGGTTATAATTAGGATAACCCCACTTAGGGGACTTATAACCCCAGTTATAACCCATTTACTAAGTCCCATGATCCTCTAAGTAGGGTTTGCTGCCTAAGGCTGCAGGGTTTCAGGGTTTCGGGCTTGGGGCTTTGGGTGGTTTAGGAGGTTTGGTGAACTTGGTGGAATCGGCAGACGTACCGACATGGGGATCTCCACAGCAAAAACAATGAAAACAATGACAAGGGGGCTCCAAGGGCTTTCATATTTTGTTGCGGGGAAGGCAAGGGTTTCAGCCTAGGAATGCGCAGCGGCGGAGGAGCGGAGGACCCTCGATAGCTCATGAAAGAATCGCACTGCAAGCAGTCTCGGTGCGTGTTTAGTTTTCACTGAGGCTACTGGGAGGGCTCAAGACTCGTGTTACACGACTTCCATGGGCCAAAATGGTGTCTCTCTGAACGTTGCCTGGCGTTCAGCTGCATTTCGAACACTCTTCGAGCTCTGTGTCTTCTTGACGAAACGGGCAGGGACCCTGAACTCCGAACCCGGCTTGGTAGCAGGGGGCAGTGAAACTTCGAGATTTGACGGCTACGGACGAATGCCTGCGCCAAGAATCTGCGTAAAGGTTCATGGGACTTAGTAACTAGGGTTATAAATTAAGGTAACTATATTCACAATTACTTATAACCCCAATTCGGGTACTTATATCCTTACTTACTAAGTCCCCTGATCCTCCAAGTATGACAATCGGGAACTCCTCGCTTTTCTGCGCAGCCCTGGACTCCGAAGCTCTTCAGCCGACAATAATCTCACAGAGAATACCTCAAAATAGTAGGTTATAGGGGTTTAGGGCTTTTGGGTTTAGGGTTTAGGGGTTTAGGGTATAATATAAATTTTGTACAATGTAATATGATGTTCTACAGTATTGAACACGCAGTGCAATACTGCAATGCAACGTCACATCATGTCATAAGCGGCGGTCAAGTTGCGTCGGAGCAGACGGCATCGCGCTCGGGCTGCGCTGAGGCCAGTGCATCGAAGAGCTCTACCTCAGGACGACAGCACAAGCGCCACTCGTATAGGGACCTTAGTACCTGGAATAAGGTATGAGGGGGGGGGAAAGGTTTGAATCGTTATTATAGTAAGGAAATCTTCGTGCCCCTGCACCACTGTCTTACATCTTCCCACAGATATGCTGAAAGGCCAAATCGAAAACAACTGATGGCGGCAGCTGGCGAAACGGGATCCAGACAAACGATTGCCTTTAGCCACGCCTGTCTATCGTGAAGCCACACTATACTTCTTGCGACCATCGCGTGACAAAACGAAGGTCTTCAGCAAGCTCAATGACACACGAATCGAGATGATGAAGCACTTGTAATAATTCACGAAAACATTCTCTTCGATCGCATGTGTCACAGTTTTTTTGGTACATGTGCCCTCCACGCGGCCAGAAACGCCGAACTATAGCGCCTCAAGCCGCTTAAGCTCTAATCCGTCACACCGAAATCTGTCAAGGCTGCCTACCGACTGTACTTCCAGTCCGGTGCATACATATATATATATATATATATATATGCATAGATGCAGATATGTATATGTACATACATAGATATGTATACACATGCATCTGTAGTATAGAATACATTGCTTTCCCAGTGGCTGGGAGCGGTTGGGTGGTGCCCGCCGGGCCACACTGCAGAGTGCTCGGGAGCAATTCCTGGACACAGTATGGGATCATATGGGAGTTTCCGAATGTTAGGGGTACCTTATATTGGGGTCATTATGAAAAGGGTCTTACTATTTGGGGAAACTCCCCAATTGGAATAGTGTTCCTTGAGGCCTCCTGATAGCAACATGTTCCTGGACACCGCGAGGGGTTTGACTGTAGCCAATGTTTTTTCTATAGAGTAAGGCTTAAGTACAAGTGCCACTACAAGTAAAAAGGAACTACAAAACTACAATGACTTTACCACGGGAGAACAACTCCAAGCCGCTGTTCACACTTTCGCCCAGGTTGCACCGAACTATACGGGCTACTGGAAGGGCCCCTATTAGGCTACTTCTAACGGCCAAGGCCCTACCTGCATGTTAGGAAGCCCTCCTTGCCTCCATCTTCCATCTCAGCACGCAGCCACCCGGCCCGGTGTCGCTACATGCCAAGCAAGACTGGAAGTGTGCGTGCGTGTGTGCCTGTAGAATGAAGAAACAGTTCATTCACATTCTTGTACGGTTGTGTTCGACAGACCTGCACGAGGCTACTGGAGGCTGCAGGTTCAGAAGCATGGTTGCACACGCACTGCCACGGCAGTCGCATCTGCTCGCCAGCGGCGCCTCTACAATCGAGCTCACTGGAGACAGCACCGCAAACCTTAGCATCAAACCTCCTTGTAAAAATCCCGACCTATCTAAGGAAGGGGCTTGCTTGGGCTCTAAACCGGCAGACTACATGTTGCATTCGCATGCGCTGACCGCGTGATATTTGCCATGTCAGTTGACGTGTGCACGCGCAGGTTGTTTCTATTAGTTTTTGCCCTCGCTGTCCTCCTGGTGCAGATCATGATGATGCCGGCGAAAATGATGACTTTGATGTGATTGCCAATTTTCGGAGATGGCAATAATGCTGCTGTGCTGCCATGATGCGGGTCATGATGATGATCATGAGATGACGGTCGTGCTGGTGGTCATCGTCATCATCATCATCATCAGCCTCGTCAGCTTCATCATCCTTATCTTCGTTGCGCAAAGCATGTCCGAATTTCATGTTTGTCTTTTGCCAAAGTGCTCCTGAAATGCTCCAAAATGCATGGACTGCGGAGTACATTGCCGCTCTAAGTAAGTGTTCAGTTGACCGCAAGACTGGTCGAGTTCTGTCAACTCTGCCACTTCCCTCAGCATGGAATTGGCAAATTTCCGTCGACGTTCTGCCGTTGGTAATGTATCCAATCGCAGCAAGCCCGCATTGATGCAATGCCTGCGTTGACGCAGCCCGGAAATTGCCTTTAGCATGGCTTTTGTTGCTGGGACGATCGACGTTCGATCGCGATTGCAATACCCGTCCGAATATCGACAGATCTCAAGTCGGGGTGGTTAACTTGTTGTCTGTGCGGACCTCAAGACCAGGAAACTCTATACCCTCAACGCTAAAACCTAAACCTCTGAACACCTTAAACCAAAGACCCCGGGGCCCTTAACGATTAGAATAAGGTTTTGGGGAAAATTGAAGGAATCCAAAATGATACAGGTAAAAGCCTAGAACCCTACAGTGGGATTGCTACATCTGAGCTCGTGGCTCCTTTGTAACGGCTACATGTAAATCTGCAAGGTATGAACTGCTGCTGACTGACAATTGTAGAACTCAGGGTTTATGGTGTTTAGGGTTGAACGGTTTAGCTGTTTTGGAGTTCCGGGGCTGTTCAATGGCAGTCATTGCCCAGGAACCAAGAACAAGTGAAGATGACAGGGAATACTGCAGGGACCTGATTCACGAATATTCTTCCTTACAGCTCCTTACTGCGCTTGACTATATAAATCTGCATTACCTTAGTGACCCTAGACTCTGGGAATTATTGTATTTTCGTTTTTATGGGAAATGCAGGGCTTATGTCATCAACCGTATGACTACAGTAGATTATACCCCCTTCGAACTAGCATAACATACATCCAAAGTCGCTGTTGCATAATTACTAAGGCCCCTCTGTTATTGACAGTCTTGGTATTTCGGAGCTGCAACCATGGACTACTTGGAGGATCATGGGACTTAGTAAGTAGGTTATAAAAATTCAGCTGCTTATCACCACAATTACCGTAAGTATACCTTACTTACTAAGTCCCTGATCGTCAAGCACAGAATAACGCCCTCGTAAGGCGCCTAGGAAGCAAGGAAGAAGCACTAGCCTTCGCCCTTGGGGCCGTGGTAGGGTTTAGGGTTTCAGGATTTGAGGGTTTAGGGAAGGCTTGGGATTGCTTTCGCATCTGCGCTAAAACTTGTTGCTTTGTATGCAGCTGGATCAGTAAGTCGAGCAGAAGACGGTTTATGGAAGGCCGCAATCATGGTTCATGCAGACGGTTCACTCAGTATTTCTGCGTTCCTGTTTAATGCAAGTGATTCGTTATTCCATGTTTGCCGTGCTAAACGCACCAAATTCTCTTGGGGGCGTGGTGCCACACTCGCACAGCACAGACCAAGACGAGCAATATGGGGCATTAACACCGTAAGCAACCCTCAGGAACTCAAGCAGGGCGTGGTGCAGTAGGGCTTGAGTAGGGCCCTAAAAAAGAACATAAGCAAAAATAAGGATAGGGATATACCATAATTATAGACCCCCTCATCATGAAGCCCCAAAACATGCTTATGCTTATGTGATTTTTGGCCCCCTAATTGAGGGTTCTGCAGGTTCAGACATCCGGCGGCCATCTGAAACGTTTTTTCACCGCACGTCAGAAACAACGAGAGGGTATGAGTCTGCGCAATGCACTGCCTGGGCCGAGGGCTGGCTACTTCAGGAAACAGAGGTCGTGATGGTTGGAAGGACCTACCCTTTTTAAGGACTTATATAAGGAAATCATAATAAGGAGCCCTAAAAAGGTATGTTATTCAGGGTTTAGGGATGGTATCACGCATCTTAAACAACCTATACTAAACATAACCGGGTCAAGCCTCTTGTCAACCGTAAGCCCTAAACCCCCCAAACCCTAAACCCCAAACCCCAAGCCCTAAACCCCCTCTCCAGTCACCTCCGGTTTGAAGCCCACGGCTTAGGTGGCCAGCCGAGCCCAGAAGCAGATTGCATGTAGTCGGCGAGCTTCGCCAGAACCAGAACACGACCCTCCACTCTCGGCCGCATCTCGTCCCAAGGCAAGTTCTACTGAAAGGAGCATGGGACTTAGTAATTAGGGTTATAAAACTTATACCTACTTATAACTCCAATAAAAGTATCCCTCCAAGTAAGGTTTAGGGCTTCGAATGCAGGGGCCTTAATAATTAGCAGAGGGTTTCATAGTACGGAACCTCCAAAATATTATCGATAATTATCTAGGCCCCTATAGTAGGGCTTCGAAAGGTTTCGAAGGTCTGGTGTTTAAGGTTTCAGTAGTTCAGAGTTTACGCCTTTTGCCTTAAGACCTCATGGTTGTCCGGGGTTTTGAAGGTTTCAGACATCCTCTGGAATGATGTTACTTAAAAAATTCGGAGTATACTAATATACTAATCAATAACGTTTCGGAGTATGCTACTTATTTAAAGTTTCGGAGTATGTTACGCTGTAGTTATGATAAAGAACCCTTTAGGAATAGGGATAGTTTACTAATCATTTAGAGGGCTTGAGACCGACGCTGCCGTCAGGTGGCGACGTGCCTCCACGTCCGTGAGACACCGAGGAAAAGATCGGCAGAGAGATCTAGGGTTTAGGGTTTATGGTTTAGGGGTTTAGGGTTCAGGGTTTACAGAAGGGGGATCCCTTTGGGGGGCCCTTACTACTTAGGTCACTTGAAGAATCATGGGACTTAGTAAGTAAGGCTATAAGTCCCCTAATTGGGGTCATTAGTAATTATAAGTATAGTTAACTTATTTATAACCCTAGTTGCTAAGTGCCATGATGCCTTAAGTATGCCGTTGTTGACCGCAGCACCTAGCAAACCCAGCAGTCCAAGGCCTACCCAGCAAACACTTCCGTGGGGCACTCTGACGAGGATATCCAAAAAAGCGGAAGCGGATGGGACCTTCAATTGGGGATATACGTAGCTATAAGTATACTGCGGCAGGAGCGCGACTTGGCACACACTATGCCATGCACACTCGATCACGATCGGGAGCTTTGTCGAACTCCAAGCTCCGTAGCACGAAGCGAGTCCAAACAAACTCGTCAGACCCAGCAGGGCAGTAGGAGCACGATTTCCACATCCGGGGCCTTGAACATAAGAATCGGGTTGCAAAGTGGAAAAAACACCAGATGTGGAATCAGGAACCAATCTTGGTTTTTCAGGTTTGGGAGACCTCCAAGGCTTGGGAAGGTGGGCTAAACGACAAGGGTATCTCTCTCTCAACCGATCCAGAGATCGTCATCTAACCGAACCAGCATGCTCCACAGTAATCCAGCCCAACTCGGGCAGGGCGGGTGGGCTGTCCTGCATGTTCCCATGCGTAGCATCGCTGCTGGTCCTATGCTTTTGCTAGTGTCACCGTGGCTGTTCTAGGCATGACTTTGAACAGTCCTACTTTTTTGGTTGTGGCGGTGATAGCAGCAGAAGCAGGAGCGGTGGCAGCAGCAGCAGTCGTCGTGGCTATAGCGTAGGAATAGTAGCAGTAGTAGTAGTAGTAGCAACAGGAACTGTGCCGTTGCTGATAAAAATCCTGCATTACCTTAAGGACCGTATAGTCCTTACCTGATCAGGACTTATATCATCAACCGTAGTGGCAGTAGTAGTAGTAGTAGTAGTAGCAGTAGTAGTAGTAGTAGTAGCAGTAGGAGTAGTAGTAGTGGTAGTAGTAGTAGTAGTCATAGTCGTGGTGGTGGTGGTGGTGGTGGTGGTAGTGGTAGTGGTGGCGGAGTAGCGCTAGTTGGTAGTGGTAGTGGTGGCAGTGGTTGTGGTAGCAGCAGCAGCAGCAGCCGCAGCAGTAGCAGCAATAGCGGTGGAAGTGGCAGCCGGTGGTATCAGCAGCGGCAGTGGCAGCAACGTTGGCGTCGTCGGCAGTCGCCGTCGTTGTCGTTGGTGCTTGTTGTTGGCAGGGTGGTTGCTGCAAATGCTGCAAGTGCTTCGTTTGCAGTGGCTGCTGTTGCTTCTGCTTGTGCCTGGATTTGGATTGGAAGTCGTTGTTGTTCGGTTGTCGCTGTGCGGTCTGACACCTGTGCAAGTTGGCATCCATTTCCGCCCACCCATGAGGAGCATTCTTCATGCCATGCTCAGAAGGGAGCAGAGTGCCTCATGACAGAGATACGACCCTCGCTGAAACCATCTTCCTCTTTGAAATGCCACATCTGCGCCTTCCTCCGGGCGGCTAGGCATTCTTCACCGGCAGTCCCCCACCAATCAGTACAAACAGGACTCGCTACGAGACCTGGCCCTCTTCATAAGTTGCAGGTTTAATTTGTGTCTACATTTCTTTGAGGGCATCT